GTCACTAAGCTTTTAGTAGTAACATGAATGGTAAAGTAGCCTTTATGTCAATGTTTTATCATCTTTTGCCTGCCCCACTGTATTTAGTTAACTAATTTCTAAGTATTCATATATTGCATTATGAAAAATAATCTAAAAAACACTTTACTGAAAGTCAAGCAGAGAGGGGCTTTTTTTTTTCTTTAACTGATTTAAAAGAAAATCTCTGCAATGAACTTCCTAAAGACCACTCATCAAACAGCCTGTCACATTTGGGTGTGGCTGTAGCTCAGGAGGTAGAGCGGATCATTTCATAACCGGAGGATTAGCGGTGTGATTCCCGGCTTGTTCAGTCAACATGTCAAAATGTTCTTGAGCAAGACACTGAACTCCCAGTTGCTCCTGGTGATAACAATAGTGTGCAAATGTATCACCATTTGTGAGTGTGAATGTGTGAATGGCCAAATAGTGTGAAAACATTTTGAGTGTGCTGTAAAGTGTAGAAAAGTCCTATACAAGTATAAGACCATTTACCATTTACATCTGTGTCTGCTTGCCTGGATATGATATTCGTGCTAACAACCTGGTTTTATATGCCCCAAATTTAGCCTCATTAAAGTGTTGGATTTCATATATTTTATGTACTAACAGTAATAAAATTCAAAACTATAACATTTTTATGTACTGGCATCTGATAAGTGCTATGGTGGATTGCCTGATAAGCGAAGGTGAGAATCGGATCACCTCAGTAAAAGGCCATGTCTACATTTATATGTGATGAAATCCATCACAGTCAAGAGGTAAAGTTCAGAGAATCAGAGGAAAGACTTCCTATACAGTTCATGAACCCAGCAGTTATTGTTTCTTCACTCTTGCTGCCTCAAGTCATCCTGCCAACTCAAAAATTGTAAGTATAGTGGTTTAACACATCTGTAGTTTTTTGCTGTCAAATAGACAGTTTTTCTTCAAACAGAAATTCACATGTAAGAGTTAAAGTTTAAACAAAATCACTTAAATTGCAGGTATTATGCTCAAATGATGTATACTTGTTTTACAGTGTCATATTTGCACTATGTTTGCATATTACTTAATATATCCTTTGGTTTTAGATTTTGAACTGACACAGACAGAGTCCAGTTTCTTCATGTATACCTACCAAAAATTATAATAAATGATTAATAAAAGTGATGCTAATAAAATGTTATTGCATTATGTTTACATTTTAAAGCCAGTTTAACACTGCAGTACTGAGAATCCATTATCATCTGTGTGTCACTACATGACAAGTCATAGCTTCATTCATCAAGAATAATGCTTAGTGATTGTATTTTTATGAGTTTTAATTTTAAAATAATTTTAATTTATAATAGCCACTTGCATTATATGAGGTCATTATATGAGGTCATATTTTATTTTTTAAAGATAGTGATATCAGTGCTTTACTTTCAAACACAATACATGACTTTGTTCAATGTTTAGTTTTTATTATTTCTAAGAAATTAATCATTTTCACTTTCCACTAAAATCTTGCTGATTTCACATTTCAGTTACAAATAAGAGGAACTTACCTCCTCCATGGCTTTTACACAGGTAAGCAAACCTCCAGACATTACCAAGCCCCACACAGAGGCCCACAGGGACTGGGCTTTGTTGTCCCATTAGGACCTGTCCCCAGCCTCTTCCTTATCCATCCTCTCCAGGTCTATGTGAGAGGGGATCCACTCCTCAAGCCCAGGGTTGGGAAGAACTATTTTCATGGCATTAATCCAGTCTATAGATTCAAACTATCAGGGAGGCTTCCACAGTGGAGGTTCGAGCACATATGGTGTGGGTGACTTTGCACATTTCACCTCAGAGATGAGCCCTGCAATGGACTGGCGACCTGTCCAGGGTGTACCCTGCCTCTCGCCCGCAGCTGGCTGGGATTGGCTCCAGTCCCCTGTGACCCCGTTTGGGACTAAGCGGTTTGGAAAATGGATGGATGGCTGGACCTCAGAGATGATCTTCACACCCCAAATACAATCCTGGATGTACAGAGTGAACATGGGTGTCACTATCATAAAAGTCCTCACAAATAAATAACAGGATGGCATCCTATTAATTATTTGCAAGGAGTTTACCTATGGTAGATTTGTGTTTGGTGGAAAATTAGACATATGCAAGCATATAGGTGTAATTTGCAATAAATCGTAAAATGTAAATGTGTTCATTAACTTTATTAACTATGTATCAATCCACTTTCATATGTTGAAGTATTTCTGAGACATTTCTCTTCAGTTCAGTTTTAACCACTTATTCCTTTAATGGTGACCTGATTTCAATCAAACTTGCCAGCATGAGAGTGAATGTGTATTAAGACCTCTTAATAAGCAACCTTTAGAAGTTTTGAACCTATTATAAATGTATGACTACAGACAGGATAATAACATAGAACAGAATAATTTGCTTTTACATTGAATTGTATGTCTGTGCAGATTCTCAGTCATCCAGGTCATAGTAAGCTGAAAAAAACTGGACTAGATTTCTAGGTCGAAGACGTTTCACCTCTCATCCAAGAGGCTACATGGCTGGGAACATCCCGAAAAGACCACAACATATGTCGCTAGAGAACATTGTTGGCCTTCAAAGGACTGAAACACCACAGAGGGGGATAAATATCTCCGGCTCAACACCAGTCAGTCAGAACTGATGAAGCCTCTTGGATGAGAGGTGAAACATCTTCGACCTAGAAATCTAGTCCAGTTGATTTTTTCTAAGTTTTTTTCATTGAATTATATGATTCTTGCAACATCCTCAGCACCTGGCACATCTGCACTGAAGCCAGTGTAACTACTTGAGCTGAGTAAATAACAGCAGAAAACAAGCACCTTGTCATGTCTTAATTTCTCTGGTTGTCTGAGCCAAAACTAAAGATCAGTTTGATAAAAAAAATTATTGCATAAAATATTGTTCTACACTTCAGGCAGTCACATCGGGCACTGGAACTAATATCAACTGTTTCTTTCTAACGTTTAGGTAATAACTGATCATATTTAAATACATTTTCAGTCATCAGTCATGTACAGATATATAGTAAGTTTCAGCCATAGTTATGGTTTTCTGATGACACCTAATATTATATGTGCTATATTTGTCACAACACTGACAGCCTGACCTGATGTCTTCAAATGTGAATCCGGGGAATATTACCAACACGGATCTGACTGGAGAATGCTACAGAGCTAGAGATAAGAAAACCTATGGTAAGTTGTCAGGTTGTGTGAGGAAATCTACTGTGTGTATTTGTTTCTTAGTTCATCAGTGGTCACAATAGTAGCTTTCTGCCCTCCAGTGGTAACAAAGAGATGCTTGCTATTGACTTCCCCTTTCCCTATAGCTTTTGCTCACATATACACAGAGATAAGGTTTATAAATGCACCCTACTACAGTAACATGGTAAATAGAAAACAGACAACATTTATGCATATAGAGCACTTCTTTTTTAAAAAGCACTTCTCATCTTACCTTTCATTTATCCATTCACAAACTCTCTCACACAGCAGCTAATGGCAGCAAGCTTCTTCACATGGAAGTCACTGAGCTAACCATTGGGGGTAGCTTGGGTACAGTGTCTAGCTCAAAGAAAGGTAACACTTTATTTTACAGGTCTGTAAATTCCACTTTATTTCTAAATAATTTCTAAGACGTTTCCTGGAAAGAGCCATATAATTTGATACTAATTACAGGTACAGTTAGAGAGTTATCAGTTGGTACACTTCCAGTTATTTCTAAATGCTAAGCTGGCACAAACTTGAGGCTTTTATTCAGAGGACAGAAGGTGAACTACACATGCAAAATGTTACATGTGCCTACAAACAACTATCCAATTCAGCATAAATGAAAAATACAATTTCAAATAGTTAATATATAAACAGTAAATATTACCTGGGGTTTACACTAAGCAGTTTCTTTCATGGAAATTCATCCGAAAGCCAGTAATAAAGTCAACACAACTCAGTGGACTAGCTAAGAAAAAAATCTGTCTTAGAACTTTGTCTCTATCTTTTGGTAATTAATATCAAACTCCATGGCTCTTTCCAGGAAACTTTCAAGAAATGATTAGTAAATAGTGGACCTGTAAAATAAAGCATTACCCAAAGAAACTTTGACACAAGCAGCATTAAGGATTGAACTGCCTAGATAATTTGCTCTACCACGCTGAGGCCTATTATAAAACCTCAAGGTAAATGAAAAAGCAGTGAGCTCTTACTCTTCTCATGTTCCCCACAATAAACATACCAGAATGTTTTAGTTTGGAGAAATGGTCTACAGCTAGAAAACGATGTTGATGTTGAATTCTGGGGTGCTGTTGTTTTTTGTTTGTTTGTTTGTTTTTGGCAGTTTTGTGATTACATTATTTTGTGACCTTAGCCGTTTTTCTTTTGTCATCACTTAGAGTTATCTCATGATTACACATTTTGGTTCAGGTTTGGTGGAACTAACGTCCTGCATTTAAACTTTGTGGCCACAAGAGGTTGCCATTCGTTAAAACTGCACTTGCTGCAACAACAAACATTTGTCCTGTATTACCCTCATCTGGTCTGATAGCGTGTTTATCAAATAAGATAGTGCGCTTAAAGCATAAATCTTTTTTAGCACGTTCTACCTCATCGCTATTTTTTATGTATTTAATAACACCATAGCATTTAGTGGAATCTAATAATACCACAGTGTTGCTGCCTTATGAATACAATTTGAATCTAATAATACAGTGTTGCTGCCTTATGAATACAATTTATACACCATACTCACTGCATTATAGTATTTATCTTATGGTTTTGCTTATTCTTTCATTCAGTATTCAAAAAGCGCCTTACTTCATTATTTACATTTATTTATGTTTATATGTATTTTCTAAATAAATTTGGCCTTGGATAAGTGTAGTTCGTGAAGCCACTGTTAAACCGGGACAGTGATCTGAAGGGAGGGGAGAGAGAGATGAGGCAGAGAGGAAAATAGATATTGGGGGAGGGTGGTGGATTTACTGGGACTCAAGCTGCGCTGATCCTCCACTTTCCGGCACTAGCCAGGAGTCCGCCTGCTGCCTCAACTTTATCACTGCCACCTGTTTCTCTCAGAATAACACAACGGCATTAAAGAGTTCAGGACAAGCTGACCAAAGCAAAGAGCCGAGACAAGACACTGACGGTTTCTTGTATCACCTTTTCGACAACCATCCCCTCCACCCCTTTCCCGAGGGAGGCCAGGCTCCGCAACAGGGCGCACTTGGCGACCAGGTTTGTTGTTGTTGTTACCAGGAGAGGAGCGCTCAGCGAGCTGAGCCATAGTCGGGACAACTCTCTTTAAACCGGGCTGCCCCCCTCAGAGGAGTCACTTGCATGGATGTACCATGGCCACGTTTGTCTGCAGGGTTCAGTTTTTAGATGACACCGATCCGTTCAACAGCACAAATTTCCCAGAACCGACGAGACCACCGCTGTACACCTTCAGGGAGGATATCCCCCTCATCAACCAGCTTGCAGGAGTCCACCGGCTCCTCAAAGCTCCACACAAGGTAGGATTACCAGCGTGGTAAAAAGCTGATTCCAGAAGAAACTTGTGCAGTCCAGTGAAATGTCTATGTTTCTATTCAGCAGATATAGCTGCTGATTAGAAATATAGTGATATATTCCATTATACAGTCATATAAGATCACTAGAAACCCAAGGACAACACATAACCTTAGTAGAAATATTATGACATTATTAATAATTTGATTATTTATGACTTTATACAATTTAAGACTGCAGTTTCCCACTTTAAGCCTACCTCGAAGAAACTTCCCTACCCGCCACTCTCAGGCTATTTTGAGAACTAGCTCTGCTGCCTTCCAGCCTGAAACCAGCAGTAACAAACATAGACTTAACTTGTTTTAAGCAAAATATTTGTTGATCCCATGTTAGCACTTTATCTGCTATACTCTAGTGCCTTTAAGGAAGATGCTGGATCTTTACCAGCTCCACCTTTGACCTCTCTGTGGAGGATTGCTAGAAATAAAAAGTCGTCCCTTGTGGCAACCTCTGAAGTTCCATATACCTATATTTTTGCAGTTCAAATGAACAAACCTTGCTGCCTTTTTGCACTCAGCCTTGCATGTCACAGTGACAGGTGGTTGCAAAGGCATTAGTGCAACTAAAATATACCCTTGGTTGCCTTTCATCCAGAAGTGGCAGTTGTTAAGTTTAGGAGCCACAGATGATCAAAATAAAGTGTCAGATTAATGGAAGAAATTATGTGACAGAGAAGAAGAAAGTACATTTTCAGTAATTTTCAGCAACCCAGGGAAAAATAAAGCAACACACATTTGCAGAGGCCATACAAGTGGAGCATACTGTATATTGGATGTGACCTTGTTTTTATTCTTCATTTGGAAGTACAGTAGATGCTGAAAATGCAGATTGAAGTGAATTGAAAATAAAAGTGAGGCAGATGGAAAGAGAGAGAGTTTAACTGCTGACACACAACCCGGATAACAAACCAGTGTTCAGTAGCAGAGTGGTTTTCCAGACCAAGCAGATCTTCTACTGCCCCATCTTTAAAAGCCACAAAACAAATGAAAAAAGCCCACAGCACAGAAAAGCTTATGATTACAACCTATGCAGGGACAGATGGCACAGCCTGCATTGGTATTTGCAGTTTTGTTCACATTAGGAGGAAGACGCAATGGCAACTGGATATTACACTTAGATTATAGCGATGAAACTGAACTGTTGTAGATTTGCCCAGCAGACTGCCCAGAACTAAAATCTGGTGCTTAAAAGGCTCAAATCTTATATTATTGGAAAATGTCAGTACTGCTCCAACTATTTTCTGAGCTTTCTGAGTTTCACAGTATACCTTTGTTAAAACTGCTTTTCTTTCTTTTTGTCTTAACCTTCTCTGCTCCTTTATCAGAAAAGCCTACTGTATCATTATGTTGTGATGGTAGAGTGCTGTGTATAGTTGGCTGGGCTGCATGTAAAGTATAGGTCACTTGTCCCAGAATTCCTGTGGCCAGGGCCTGGATCACTGTGACACTTTGTTCTCCTCACTTTGGATGCTGTGGTTTTCCTGACCTCTTCCTCCTCTTCCTCATCCACCTCTCTGACCATGCACCAGTTTGTACACACATAAACACACACACATAGAAGGTTAGAATAGGCCGCCAAGGCTAAATCAGTGTGCATAGGATGTGTCATTTTGTCCAAACTGTTAAACAAAGAAGTTTCCTTTTGATTCTCACACAAGAGATGCTCATTTTCCTTTTCTAACTTTAAAGAAATAAACCTAAAGTGATTAAAATGGCTCAACAAACTTTGTTCTTCAAAAGTGGCCTAAAATGTAGAAATTAGTGAGTTTTATCAAGCACTAAGATAAGTTAGCCCCTGAAAATAAAATGAGCTTAAATGCAGAAGCTTCACCACAAGTGAGACAACTACAGTTTTGCAAAGAAAAACTCCCCTCAAAAAACAACAGAGCCCAGACAACTTGGTTCTTAGTAGAGCATCACTGGGAGATTTAATAGCTGTGTACCTCCCATTCTTCAAAGAGCCCAACCCTCTGCAGCTCTGATTTTGTCCCAAAGACATCTTAAAATCTCACTGTCTAAGTTAGGTAGGGGCATCGTTAACTCAGCAGGCTCTGTTGTTTTAACACGGAAGTAATTTCTCCCCTACCCACTCTGTTGGGACCAGCTGAGTAAGTGAATATAAACTAGCCACCAAGTGTTTCACTGATCATGAAGGGTTTGCAGTTCCTCCTGGAGACAACTCTGCCTGTTTTGACCCAAACCAAGTGTTTTCCAAGACAGATGCCTTCTGGATGGTGAACTGTTAAAAATACTGTGTTGCAGTGTGAAGTCACTTGTCATTGTCAAAGCAAGTTAATATGACTGAGTAATATGTGTAGATAAGCAAAAGAATGCTGGAGGTGGAGGCACTGCTCTGTTTTGGGACCTGTGTTAGACAGAATGGTGGTTTTTCAGAGAAATAAGGAACACTGTACTGAAGTGCTAAAAAGGACCAGACATGTTGCTGCAGAACACGTGGGTGGAATGTTGATCAAAATGCTTAATGTTGACAGATTGGAAACAAGAAATGTTTTTGTTTTATTCATTGTAGCATTCAGCAAAGTAGAGGTCAAAGTCCCCCCCAAGGTCCGCTTACTGTCTTTTTTCCTGAGCTGGCAATCTCATTCCCCAAGACTCTTCCACCTCCTCTTCTGAAATTTTTTCTTGGCCACATTAAATCACAGTTGTTCCTATTAGTGGGCTATGTGGGAAAAGTTGGCATTTTAGTAAGGATGTGTTGATGGAATGCATGCTTTGTTTTGTGGCCTATCAAGTTGGCACACATGGATTAATGTTGGGAAGGGGTGGGGGAAAACTTGAGAGGAACCCAAAGTTGCCTCCTGTGCCCACAGCAATGATAAGCAAAGGTAGTACTGCATTATCTGCAGCATACAGCTTCCTAGATTCTCCTCTGTAACATTTTAGCCCTGGCAGTGCACCTATATGCCCACCCCTGCAGACACACCCACCCTTGGCCTCCTTTGTGCATGCTTTCTCAGACCAGAGTAAATATAGCAGGGCTATATTTATGCTCTGAGTCCATCTCTGTCTCTGAGTGAAAGAGAGGGACAGACAGAGAGCAGCAGTAGGGCTGATCTGCGGTGCTGTCATGGCTTGACAGCCAGCGGCTCTTTGGCAGAACACCAGAGGCCAGGCAAGGTTAAACACAACCAAGGTACTAAGTGTTAATTCAACTCATGACTCTGATCTCATTCACCTATTCAAACAGCAGCAGCTTTAATAATAAGTTGCATAGCTTGTAGTAATTGTTGCTACATAATGATGAATGTTACTCTTAAGAAGTTGTCACTGGTATGGCTGCTTGCACCTGCTATCAACTTGTGTAATCATAAACATCAGGGCCAGTGGTGTGCAGATATATTTTTGTGCACCTGATCTCACACTCAGCAGGGTGTCTCATTTCACAGCACAGTGGGTCAGTTCTGACCCAGGCTGGTCTGCGGTGTTGCCTTAGATCATACAGAAGGCATGGGCTCCAGATTGATCTGTTCTTTAGAAGTAAAAACAGGAACATAGCACAATCTGCCATGTATATAAATGTGTAATGTAAATGATGTGTGTGGGAGTGACCACCCTCCACAAACCTACACAGTTTTAAATGTGCTGTAGCTTCATATTTTCAACAACAAGTATCATTTCCTCCATAGCTGCTATTTAAATGCACAAAAATCTCACTTTCCTCTCCTTATTTTATGGACCATTGTGCCACTCTTGTTCAAACCCCTGCCCTGTAAAATGGCCTTATCTTACAGGCTCAATTTGCTTTTTTTTAAAAGGGGGTGTGAAAGACATGGAGTGAGGGGAGAGACACCAGTGTCATTCCTGTTTGTGGTTCATGTTCAGTATGTACATCACTGCCAAGAAAACTCCACCTGCCAACTTGAATAATCAAGTGCTCAATCTTATTTTGCACCCCTAATACATGTACTGTAGATATAAATGCCAGTTTTAAGGACCACTTTGGTCAGTTCATTTAATCCATTCTAATATCTTAGGTCAGGTTAATTTTTCATTAATACTCCTGTATTAAAACATTGCCTTTCTTCCTTTCCACAGCTTGATGACTGTACACTTCAGCTCTCCCACAATGGCACCTATCTGGACCTGGAGTCCTCTCTAGCTGAGCAAAGGGATGAGCTGGAGGGCTTTCAGCAGGCTGACACAACAATCACACTCTGTAATACATATACTTTTCCTTCCCTGTCAAAAGATCTCCATTCATTTGGAATTTGCCCTCAGCCGTCTTTGTGGGGACCAGATGCTGGTCTCCACCATGTAAATCATAGAATTTTAGGGTGACAAGTTGGGGTTAGGCATGTAGTGGATATGGTTAAGTAAGTCTCATTTTGATGAAATTAATGTAAGTCAGTATAAGTCCCTACAAAGAATGAAAACAAACATGTATGAGAGCACACACACACATAGGCACACACATTTTTTGAGTTTCTCTATTCTTATAAAATGGGAAGAATCACAAGCTATGGATTTCTTGGAAGTGCAAGTTGATGGAAAGTGTAGCTTCCAGTCAACAAAACAAAACAAAAGAGTTGTCTTTTACAGAAAGTATGAAGCACTCTGGAAAGCGGGACAGATGTACCCTTGCTTTCACAACAGCAGCTCTTCTTTCACTGTATTTTCATAATAATTGATATTCTGGTCTTTGTTACAAACCTGTCAACTGAGAATGCTACAGGAAAAATTATAACAATTTTATAACGGTAGTGAATCATTTTCCCAGCTGTCTCACAAAAAAGAGGAATAGAAAATGGAGCTCTGCTACTGTGGCTCAGGATTTTCCCCAGAAAACTTTATAGTTCAAAACCACCTATACCCTGACATGTGTTGTACTGTGATCAGTTTTGTAGACTGTGGCATAAACAATAGACAAGACACATACATATTTGGTATTGCTGGGTGAAACAGTACTAGTGTTAGCAGGTGGATGATAGCCTAGTTACTACATTTGTATGCTAATGTAACCCTTGTGCAATCAACAGTTTTACAGATCTCTAAAATATAATAGTCACTGACTGATTGATTGAGCCATTGATTGTTACTGTAAATGATTGGTTATTTATAGCAGTAATGGCAAACTGACCCTGGATTTGCCAGAAATGATCCAATCACAATACAATTTGTTTTTTTGGCACCTGGCAGTAGAGTATGAGCAGTCGAGTATATTGTATTTTTATGTCTGAACCAGAACAAGCCTGATGCAGATGAGTTTGTGTACAATCATGGATAGCGTTGTCATGCACTTAACCAGCTCTTCATTTAATTTTGAACAGGCTTAACACTTTAAATTAGCCTACACTAAAAAAAAATATACAGATTCATTTACAAGTGCACTTGTTTAGCCTAAAGTTTGATCTATGTGGCCAAACATGGCCCGAACCCGAGCATGATTTCTAAGTTTCTGTCTGAACACGACCCAGACCTTCAGTTACCCTAGAGTTTACTTTCTCTTTATACTGCTTAAAATTGTAGTAAGAAAGTCACTTTCGGCTTTTCCCATTTAGGGGTCGCCACAGCGAATCGTCACACTGACGATTTGCATGTTGACATTTGTTTTACACCAGATGCCCTTCCTGACGCAACCTGGATTCAAACCCGGGGCGCCGCGGTGAGAGCGCTGCACCTTAGCCACTAGCCTACCAGGGACAGCATTGCTTAAAATTGTAGTACTTTTTAAAATATCATTATAAGCATAGGAATGTAATACATTTTCAGTGATCACTCTGCTCCTCTATCATCTGTTACCTGTTCCCAAGCTAAAACTCTAAACGCTTGTTAACCGCAGAGCTTCATGTACTTATATTCATTGAAAAGTCTTAATGACACTGTTACGTTATGAGCTCTCTCAACCTACAGCTGGCATTTATTCCTAAAATTTCAGTGTTAAACCATCCACAGCCTTCAAAAATTCAGAACTCTGACCAGATTGCTGGAGCTAACAGGTAATTCTGCACTCTAAGACAGAAGGCAGAATTTCTTTCTTGAGATAACTTATTAGTTTAGCAACTTTTTAATGTTTCATTATCTGTGACTAAGAAACTTCACAGTATGAGTACTGTAGCTAGATAGTGTTCAGTGCTGCTGTTGGCAAGGCATTCTCAGCTTTAGAAGTGCACTTTGTTCTGTTGCCTCCAACATTGCCATAGTTGTCATAATTTTATTCACATAAAGCATTGTCACCCAGAGCTTTGAGAAATAAACTAAGAAGGCAGCTGCTAACTAGCTGCATACACAGTATAAATGTGTGACATTGTGCATTTGTGGAGAGTCGTGGTATGCTGATCATTTGGAGGCCGGGCTTGGCAACACGATAAGTGATGGCAGACCCCCAGAGCTTGGTTGTTCTCTGTGTGTGCTTCTTTCCATGTGTACATTTAATAGTTTGTCTGTCTCTGTGTGCGTGTCTTTGCTGTGCTCCAAGTGAGCCATGTGAAAGAGGTCACAGCCTGGCTCAACAGTATGACATGTGAGGAAGTCCACACATAGTAGTTCTAAAGTAATGCAAGAAGTTACAGTATAGACATATAAAATACAAATAGGTTACATCTGCAGTATTTAGATGGGTGAAGTGTATGAGTGCATGGATGTAGAACAACCTGACAAATAAATCATCAATGTTAACTGGCAGACCAGGGAAGAAAGTGAACAGAGCCTGAAGGTCTAATTTATAGTATCCTGAGCGAGCCTGCTCAGGTGTACTGCATCTCTGTTAAGGACTCAGCTTCCATAACTAACTAGAGAAGATGAGATGGAGACAGCTTTGAGACCACCACACAGATAACGAACATGTGGTTAAAGGCATGCATTACTGAAGTGGTTGGATCTTGGGGAACTGGTTGGATGGGCCTGTTTGTTATCCCATCAAACTGAGGCCTTTGTCAAGTTAAACTGTACTTAGAGCAGAAAATGAATCACATGATGATGGTCCCTCCAGACCGTTTCACCTGTCTTTGTAATATTTAAAATATGTATAAAGGTGCATTAACTATGACTTTACACATTGTCTGATAAATCAAATGAAAAATAGACAGGATGTGGCATCACTTCACTATCCAGTCCCTCTGTGTTGTCAAAATATGGTTCGTAAACTAAGTAATGTGTTTGCTTTGGTAACGTTAGCAAATTACCGAATTAATATAGTGCGTAGAAAATTGCATTTCCTGTTGAAAATGTGTGTGTGGGTTCGTAAACTAAGTAATGTGTTTGCTTTGGTAACGTTAGCAAATTACCGAATTAATATAGTGCTTTGTGTGATATTAGCAGTAGCCAGAGCATTTTCCTTGGTTTGCCAAATTTACTCATTAGCCAGCTAATGCTAGTTTTGGACTGTAGGCTGCATTTAGTACAGTTTGTCACAACCAGGCATCCGTCGACAGAAGGAAACAGGACGTGATGGAAGGGACAGAGAGTGGTGAGCAGTGACTTAATATGTCATATTATTTTGAGTCTCACTAGATTGTCTGGAGACTGAAAATAAATTTGATATTTGTGTTGTAGAAGGGATCCTGAAGTCAATTTTTCTCCTACTGATCTCCAACTCTCGCTCTTACTGAGTTTCTGCTTTGACTGTCACTTTCCCATAACAGATTATCAGAAAGGTAAGAAAGATCAATTTTGTCTATCAGCATCTCAACAGATCATGTTAACATTTTGCTCTATTTCTGAGCAGAGCTGATAACAGATCAGGTGCTGGTGTTTTCCAGCAGTGTTTGTTATCAGATCAGTGCTTTCCCTGCCTGAGTTGGATGTTATCAGCATGTTAGTGATGGAAGTCAGTGATTTGCCCCTGCTGATCTGAAGATAAGCAGTAAGGTTAAGATAGGGAGTTGGAGTTGTGCTCAAAATACCATCATACTTTACCTTCATGTTTATGTGTACACATTTTGTTTTCCAGTTGGAATTATTGTCAAATACTTCTTAGGTTTCCACTGTTTGTTCAGCTTGCCCCTGTGATACTTTTACTTAGTGGGTTAACTAAGTTTCTCAGAAGCTGAAATTTGATAAGCACTCTGCGTGTCTGCAGCAGCTCCAGAGAGAGAGATTTACAATTCAGACTGATCCATTTTCATGTGGATTGTTAATAATGATGCTCTAGAAAAAGTTTGTGTGTGTCAGTGCACTGTTGTAGGCTATTTATTTTAAACTCTGAATAAATCCTTAAAATGTGGCATGGACAGGATAGCAATGTAAATTCAATGAAACAGATTTCTATGGGATGTAAAATTTATGATTACATTTAAACCATGTTACAAGCCCATATTGTTTTCATTCATATGAAACACAAACCCAGTCTCCTTTTTTCCAGCCCATAAAATTAATGTTTCTGAGAAATAGACCTGACTATGAGCAAAACCAAAACAAATGACCATGAAAAATAGAATACACTAAAATATCCTGAATTATTCGATTGCATCTAACTTCACTTAGCATACAAATTATGTGAAATGTCATTTTACAATGTGACTGTGTGTACGTTTTATGGTCACAGCAAAAGATGGCAGGATTCCATGTGCAGTATGTATAGCTTAAAGCTGACTGAAATGGAAATAATCACTTAAAAGTACAAATGGCTAAAATTTTAAATGTGATGGCTTCAAAACATTTGTGGTTTGTCATTATGTCCAGCTATTCTTTGTGTTATAGTTTACACATTAATATCCATGTGTTACTTCAGTTTCAGTTAAATAATAAAGAGCAGGAGAAACTAGAGAAATGCATTTCCTGTCGTAAATGTGTGTGGATGCTGATAAGCTGAAAGATCTTCCTGAAAATGCCTGAAATCAATTGCTGAAACAGCTGAAACATGAGATGAAATGGCTGAAGTTCTTTGTTGAAATAGTTGAGAAGAAATGGCTGAAGGTCTTTGTTGAATAATCTGAAGGATGAGACACAATAAACTAGGAATGGCCTTGAAGAGCTGAACATTTTGATACCTGAATGGCTTTGCTAGCTGAAAGTATGCTGAACTTAAGATGTGAAAATAGTCCAATAGGACCCCACAAAGTAGGTAAAACAAGTAGGTGTGAACATGTGTGTGAGAGAAGGGGGGAGACAGAGAGAGGAAGAAGGGGAGGGGGATAGAGACAGAGAGAGGGAGAGAGAGGAGG